AACAGAGTTCCCTGGGACATATGTTTTTGTAGAAAGTGTAACTAAATACAGCTGTGGAGACTAGGTCTAGTAGACTAAGGCAAGTGAGAGGTCAAGATACTGCTGTGGAGACTAGGTCTAGTAGACTAAGGCAAGTGAGAGGCCAAGATACCAGGTTTCTTTAATGAATAATGTTTGTATGTATTTTGCCGATTTTTCACACTATCCTTCAAATAGATTATAAAAACCCGACGAATTTGTGGCTATCTATCTATACTCAATTGCTATCACATTAAACATTTTTTTGAATTAGTTAATCTGTCCATTAACGCCACTGATTGAATGATGAACCACTGAAATAAAGAAACAATCGCTTATTAGTTTAACCGGCGTCAAGGACAACTGGCTTTGTTAATAGGGACCCTTACAGTGGTAATCTACATTGTAGCTCTATCTGGGGGACATTTTAGTTCTAAAGAGACCTAATCGCTTGTTTGTCCACCAGATGAAGCTGCTCTGMCGTTTACCCAGCCCTCCAGTACCGGGACTAGCCCTTCTTTATGAGTATATTAGCATTCTTGTTATCATTCGGCTGTCGGCCAAAACAACAGTTTTTTAAAAAGCTGAGCCTTAAAAGGTTGTAGCTTGTGACATTGATTGCTAAACTGAGAGTTGATAAAACTTGTTGGTTTGATAAATCTTGGCTTGTATAGCAGCGCGCTTTTCAGTGGTTCAGCAGGAAAGCGATTATCTAAAAGAAAGGTTCAAGAAATACTCACGAGGAACCACCTCCACCAAAAGCTGGGCTTGAATTCCCGSTGAATCCGCCAAAASCAGTTTGTGTTTGCTGCTGCTGGCCGGCGAATGATCCAAACCCAGATGACTGTTGTGCAACTGATCCAAACGACAGACCAGTGCTCTGTTGTGCAAGAGCACCAAACGTTGAGCCTCCTTGGGAACTTGATTTAAAAAAGGAAAGGAAATTAAATGAATACAAAGAAAAAATAGAACTTTAGGTGCAAGGCAAACAAATTGCTTTAAATATATAATCAGTGCATAAGAAATCGAATAAATGCGTTTCTTTCGGAAGCCGAAAAACCCTCCAGAACAAAATAGAGCTTATGGCAGCAGGTGGCACCTGGGAATTATCAAACGTCTTTTAACCAACGCGTATCCTAAGTATTATTACAGCATTTTTTTCAGCATTCCATGAATGGAAAGTTTGTATTTATACTGGGTTGGATGTGCTTTCTGTATTACAGAAAGTACTGGAGTTTAGTTTGAGAAAACCTTTATATCTGTTTGGCCTCAGTTTCCAATGAGAACAAGCGTGTTGAATTCAAAAACACTTAGTCTGATTTTTATCTACCGAGACGGTTGTTATACAATAAAGAAATGAACATACCTCCCAAAACCACCTCCACCACTACCAAAGACACTATGACATGAAAAATAAAATGTACTGTTGAAATGTAAGCTTGTAACGRTCGCTAGTAAAAATTCTTCTGTCAGTTAAAGTGGACCATTAACTGCCAAATCGGTTATTTGATGTTCGACTCATGAAGTTGGCAAACCTCTAAAGCAATCATTTACCTATACTATGATATATTCAGATTACATTTTATGCAAGTAATTAGTGATTTACATGCTGATTAACATATGCTATGTTTTCACAAAAACTCGATTTTCCAGGAAATTGGTCCTTTTTATTTTGATAAAGGATTAAGGATCTTTTTTATATAATAAACATGAGATAACAATCTGGCCAAGTTTTAAAAATATTCCTTGGAGCGGAAGCCCTTTCTCGGCTTTTTATACCATAATCTTCACTGTTTTCCGAGACTTTATTAAAGTTTTCTTAAAACGTGACTAGATTGTGTTTATGTAAAGTTTATCGATTTCCGATTTGTCGAGATCCGTGGTAAACAAAAGTACATTCCACGGTCAAAACATTTGTTCATTTTTGGAAGTGTTATCTAATCGTAGGATATTGTTTTGTGGTAAAAACAAAAACCATTTTATGATAGTTCCTCGCCTTCATCTCGTAGATAGACAACAATTTTGAGGATTCGATGACACCAATCAAGGTAAATAAGAGGATACAAGACAAGAAATCATAAATGTGTTAATACACATATYAAAAACCTTAGAAGACGTTTGGAACCTAACGAGGATTTTTCAATTTAGCCTACCTGCCCGTCGGAGATGCTCCAATYTGTGGGGAGCTTCCAAAAGATGGTGTTGCACCGAATGCAGGTGCCGCTCCAAAGGCRGGTGAACTTCCAAAGGCCGGTGTATTCCCAAACGCTGGTGCACTTCCAAATCCAGACGGACCTTCAACAGAAACAATACAATAGAAATGTCAATTGTAGTTACATATGACAAAATTGTTTCTTTGATACAATCATTACCAGATACATGTGCGATGGTCATGATGATGTGTGAAGGGCCATGGTCCAACGGGACCCCTTTCGAGTTTTTGTTTATGTTTGATAATTAAATGCATCGTAACAACAAAACAATCGTAACAATCAATAAAAAAAAAAACAACAACAAAAAAGACAACAACAACAACAACAACAAAAACAAACAAAAAATCCTTTATTATCCCTTTATACTATATAAATATAAGATTCGATCTTAAAACCGTYGGGCGGAAACGGATTGCGAATGGATATCTTATTCAGTCATCTTACTTTCAATACACAATCGCATTGAATGCTATCGGACTATGGGCATTTAAGAACTGGAATACGTACGGTTACGTCCTGTTTAATGAGTACTTACTTGAGCTTCCCATACTAGACACAGCAAATCCTGACGATGCTACATTTCCCGTACCTTTGCTGAATGAACCACCAAATCCAGAAGACTGGGAGGTGAATCCTGATGGCGAGCCACTGTCAAATGTGGGCTGAATGTARAATGTAAAACAAATATCACGACCACAATAGATTTCACATAACCGGATAAAAAATGCTAATGAGGATCAATCTATGCTAATACACATTACACGATCAGAAAAGCTTGCATCAAATTGTTGCCCTTGTTTGCAAAAACTAGACACAAAAACGTTTTGATTTTTTTCGTGTTACGAAGAGGTTTTCCTTAGTGTGCACGTTGGAATGTTTGTAAAAGCAAACAAATGTTTTATTTGTGCAGTTTTGGCTGCTTATGTTGTCGTTTTGTTGAAGCTAAAGAGAATTAACGTCAACGAGCTTGAGCGCAAGTTTGTCTTAGAAATGCTACCAAAAGTGCAAGACGACTGAGATAGCGTTGTTGCGCTGTGCATAAGGCAACGATAGTCAACACTGGCCTCCCAGATCGAGTTGTTCAGTTTTACTTTGAGAGTGATAATGAGCAATTAAAAATCACGAGACTGAAAGGGATAATCAAAAAGACCATATCTGATCCAGTACACACCACAGCACAGTGCAAATCAATTGGGTGTCGAAATTGTGGCAGAACGACCAGAACCAGACGATAATTCAACACAAGAGTTAGAAATGAAATATGCAGGCAAGAAGACGCCTAAAGAGAGGAGAAGGGATGCCGTGAAGAAAAATCTTGAGTGTGATTTTGGATGTTTGTTATGATTTAATTGTCATTTATAACATATCTGTACGTCAAATAAGTAAAGCGTTCATCAATATCCTCGTTGTTCCACGTGTAAAATCGTGTTTTGTGTATTAGCATAAATTGATCCTCATTAGTATTTTTTATCCAGTTATGTGATTCGTCCTAATAACAACGGCAATGGTACTTTAGATGACAACACCATTGCTGTGTATAGTCGAATAAATTGACTTATTTAGCTCTTACTGAACAAAGTTATTAAAGTATTGCCTTATTTCTCGTTGTCAAATGAATGCAAGGCAATCCACGAGAAATGTCTCGGGAAGTATTGTGAAATGTACCAAGATWGTGTTTGTAAACATTATTTACCTTAAATGCATTTGATGGAGAGCCTCCAAACAATGAAGTCCCTACAATACAAACAAAGGGAGAGTTAAACAGATTATGCTAATATCACAGGAAAGACAATTATTACCTGACGATGAGCTCTGTGTTGGTGCTGGAGTGCTGAAGGGATTTCTGTCTGCTTGGTTAGGCTGTCCACCCAGACCAAGGYCACCAAAGCCAACCCCAATACCACCTAAAAATGCATCGTCATGTYATGCGCAAAATGAATAACGCAAATAAATCAACAAAAATRGGAGGACCTACGTAGCACGAAGTTGATGTAATGTATTCATAAAATGTATTGTKTTCCATTGTTTCTCGTTCTATTGTATTATGTGTTTTGTATTGTATCTTTATGAATATATTACATCAACTGAGTGCTACGTAGGCTYTCCCCAACCAAAATACTTTACCTGACGTTTGAGAGACTGGAGGTTTGGAAAAGGCAGACTGGCCGAATGCTGGACTCTTTGAATTGGCTACACTTGTTTGTCCAAATGCAGACTGTCCAAATCCAGATGAAGAAGACACTACTTGAGAACCAAATACCCCTTGGTTTGTCGTGGTTGCAGCTGACCCAAACCCTGGTGCACTAGGTGATGTAGCTGTACCAAATAATGCTGTTGTGGATGATCCAAATAAAGTTCCCTGACTAGATGTAGATACGCCAGATCCAAATTGACCACCCTGGCTTGCAGATGATGATCCAAACAAACCCCCTTGAGAAGTAGTCACATGTGATCTGAAAGGACCCCCCTGACTCGGAATGAATGCAGAAGATCCAAATGGAGCCACCTCATTAGAAGTCACCTCATTAGAAGT